AAAATACTGAATATTTAAACAATATTTGTATATTGATGGCAACACAAGTCTAAATTCATAACATTTGAAATTTTAATAAAATGACAAATGAATACAATAATTATAAATAAATAAATGTTTACCTTTATTCAATTCATGTGAAGTATCATTGTGAACATTGGCACTATCCGCCTGCATAGTAGAATCCAATTTTACTAAAAATTAAATATTATATTTATTTTGTACTTTTTATTATGTAAAAAAAATCAAAATTTTGGTGACCATATTATGTAAAATACTGAATATTTAAACAATATTTGTATATTGATGGCAACAAAAGTCTCAATTCACAATGTTTGAAATTTTAATAAAATGACAGAATAGTTATAAATAAATAAATTTTTACCTTTATTCAATTCACATGAAGTATCATTGTGAACATTGGCACTATCCGCCTCCACAGTAGAATCCAATTTGACTAAAAATAAATATTAATTTAACACACAACTAGTCACTAGGTTAAATACTTAAATATGATCATTTGAGTTTTTAGTATAGTACTATTATAGTGGCATAGTGCAAATACATTTAAAATAACAAGAATAATAATTATTATACATTTATACATACTTTTTTTATTTGTAACTGAATCTTCAGACTTTTGTAATTTTATTTCACGTTTTGAGTGAAAAAAACTTGATACATCCATACAAATCTTTTTATTTTTTAATTTAGCAACTTTACAAAATGATAAATGCCGGTTCCAATTTGTCAAGTTCAATTCTAATCTTTTTTTTCCGCACGCACAAACAAATTCAGTTTTACAGTTCGACATTACTCAACTGAATTATTCACTTTTTACTATTAGTATACCAAAAATTTAAACACACAGACTTGAATTTGGTAAGAACTAAGAGCTAAAAGACAAATGTTGAAAAGTATGACTTTCACACTGAACAGTGAACACAGGTTTTAAACGCAGGTTACAAACGGTTTTTCAACTTTTTGTTCAAGGTTGTTTCAGATTATCACTGTTATTACTTATCAGTAAAAGGATACTTTAGACTAAAAATAACCCATAATAATAACCTAACCTAGGGAATACTAGACGCGGCGCGACTTCACCGGCGTCGGACACACTACGCCGGCACGCCGCGACGAATATTATTTATAAACACATTAGCGATTAGATTTATAGATAGCTAATGATAAATACCGATAATATAATATTATTTACTGGGAAATCAATACTATTTACTGCAATTCAACAGTCACAACCATATTATAATATGTTTTCTATGGTCACAACCATCATTCCAATCGAATTCAGTACTTATAATTTATTTATAGTTGGTTATTATTTATTATTATTTACTGTAACGGCCACGGGCTGAGAGGTACCCACCCCTAAATAAAGTCTTATATGTATGGCAACCGCCATACATGAACATGGACTTCGGCGCCTCTGAGTATTTAACATTTTGACTAGTGGAGTAATTGGACCAGCATTTTGATAGGTAACCCAATTTATTTAATTTACATTTTAAACGCTTATAACCCAACAACTTTTAAAAATGCAATAGCCACACATCAAGATATTCCAAAAAATATTCTGATTTTAAGTTAGTAATTAAAAATGCATGGTGTCATTAAAAAAGTAAGAACATAAAAAATTATAACTCTTTTTGAAAAACGTTTTTATATATCAAGATAACAAAATATTTTTATACCGTTCAAAGCATCACTTTGTGGCTTGTATATTATTACGTTTATTAAAATAAATATATTAATTGTAATATATAATATACTTTTTATAGCTGTAGTATTTCTATGGGCCATAACTATATGGATCGTGACCCAATTTTAAATCGCAAATTTATACGATTTTAAACTATATTAATCAACTAGAACCTAATACATTATAACAGTGCAACTACATTTTTTCTGTTGCCTGGCAAAAAAAAAAATCAAATAGATTTATAAAAAAAAAAATTAATAACAATTTTTAGTATGATAACGATAAAAATATATTGTTTTTGTCGATTTAAAATAGTGCAAAGAAAATATTTTCGAAAGCATTAATAGTTTTTTTATGAGTGTGTTAGGTTAAATGGAACACCCGGTATATCAATCATACTTAATGCAAAGTTTCTAAATAACTATTGTACATATTATTTCAAATGGAATAAAACTTTATTTAATGAATACAAATCTAAATATAATAATGTATCATATTACAGTGAAAATAATATAAAATGCTTGGACATATTATAATAATATTATATTCTATAATTAATAATTGAAATATTACTTGTATAGCATTTATTTATTCGTTATCAAAGACTATTTATAAGATGTCTTTGAAAATCAATAACGCACGAAAGACTTGATTGGATATACATTGGAAGCTTCTATGTACACTTATCGTACATGTCTGACCCCAAATGTCAGTGAAATAATAAAATCCTAAAAGAACTATTTTTATTCCTAAGTTCTTTTATGCAACGTTTGTCGCAGATGGACAGGTACGTAAACCCTTTTACAGCAAATTTTATACAAATAAAATTGATCTTTAAAAACGTACGCAGTGTGTACACACTTCAGTTATTTATGATTCAGTGGTTTAGAATTTAAACGCAGTCCCGAAGTGCAATATTTAATAATAATATGTAATGGCACATGAATTCTTGGTCCATTCACCTCAGACGGAGAAGAAGCAATACGAATAATAGCTAATATCCGACTGAACGCAATATCGTTTACAGAAATATTGGTATTTACAAAAAGAAAAAAAAATTTATTACCTATTTATAATTTTAAAAATATGACATAATTGAATACGAGTATAGTAAAACCTCTTTATAACGGAAAACCGCCTGCAAGACGGAACCCTCCCTTCAGCGGAAAATAACAACGGTCTCACATATTTTAGTTTCCCATTGACTAAAATTCTTTTATAGCTGACAAATCGTTTGGTTCCATTTGGCGGTTCCGTTATAGGGAGGTTTTACTGTACGTCTGGATTAATTAGGGTCCGTCGTAGAATTTTAAAAATATGACTGCCTGCCGTGTGCATTATTTTTCATACCAACTGAAAACTCTGTAAAAAAAGTTAGTCGCCAGTGTATTCGAAAGTTTAAAAGAAAATATGAAATCTGACAGCACAGTAAATGAATATCTCTGTATTTATGTTTTAAGCTTGCATTTCAATTTTGTATAATTGCAAACCATAATTATTATTATGTACGGTGCAGAACCTCAAAATACATTGATTGATATTCTATGATTTGAATAAACTAATTACATTTTTAATTGTAATACAAGTGTTTAGTTTAATAACTTGGCAAATATACACACATTATACATATAAGTTCAGTAAAATATTATTATTATTCAATTTAGACATGCCCAAGTACCTCATATAATATTATATTACGAATGAACAACTCGCTGAAAAAGTTCACATAAATAATGTAAAAATCCATCACATACGTAATATTATATTGTCTTAGGTATACTGATATAGTAAGAAAAAACGCGATTAACCACATGATAATATTTTTACTATTATCCTTTTCGCACGACTTGGTCAAAAATTAATATCTGGAAAAACGTGGGGTGGGGGGAGCCTTTTAGTTCCTATACTATGGATTTCCTAAATAATTAAATATTATAATATCGGTTCACTCGCGTTGCATATTTTCGTCGTCACGTCCGCACCAACGACGATGAATTGTCCGACATTGCAGGCAGCAATCCCCCGCAGAGCAGCTGATGTTAACGACCATTAATTCGTGTAGCACGGCCTTTCCGGTTGAAGTCTTTTCGGAAGAGTACAATACAAATAAAATGTATATTATCGTACCGATGTTTTAGACGACGTTGCGGAGGTAAGAACTTTTATTATATACTATATTATTATTATATTATATTATAAGTTTTAAACGATTTTCGACGGACTTGTTATGGGCTTCTTTTGTCACGTTTCGATTTTCTCGTTGCGTAGTTTTCGCGAGAACACTTCAGACGTGTTCGCTCTGTATACAGCACAATAGGAATAGAGGTGTATACAAATATTACACAATCTCAATATTGTATTCCCTCGTCATTGTCGTGCGGGGTGCACGCTAAATGTTTTTTTACCCTTTGGTCGTATCGAGTTAAAATAAGTTATTATTGTCGACGCTTTCGTCGGGTTTCATTATTATATCCGAGTACAATAATACTTAAACCAGTGGTCTTCGACCTTTTTAAATCGTGACCAACTTTTACAACATTTTCACTCCCCGTGTCAACTGCGTTGACTGCCGCGGAAAGAAAAGCTAGAAAAAACTAAAAGTTACTAATTTTGAGTAATTTCCGGTACATAAGTGTGCCCAAAATATTTATATCATTATACATTCTTATATACATAAAAAAGTCTCAATGAGTTCTTTTTGTGTTTGGGACCTGACAAGCAAACTCAATTAATTGATTTTCTACGTTAGTAGACATTTTAATTATTGTCGTTATGTCTACTGTTAACTTCATAATTTTTAATTATATAGTCTACATTTTTTTATTTTTTGACCTGTCACGACCCATTTTTATAGCAAACGCGACCCAAAATTGGATCACGACTCACCGGTTGAAGACCACATAGCACGCCATCTCTATAATGTACACATAATAATAATAATATGGTACAATTTGACCTGTGCCGATAATAATTATAATTAATTATAGCTGCCATAGTCCTTTTTTATAAACATTTG